ACTCCGTTTAGTAGGAAGATTGAAATATAGGAAAGATGAAAAAGTAATAGGAATGCACTTTATATCCTTCAAAGATGAAAAATATGAATAATACATTTTTCTTCCTTTGTGTTTTGTTGGATGGATAGAAAATAAAAATAACTAATTTTTTTTTTCAATTTTTTTTTTGTGTTGGCTAAGATTAGGGGTGACAATCGAATAGTGTCGTGTCAAATTCGTGTTGAATCATAATTTTATAAGTTTTTTATATTTCTTGTTCTCGTGTCAGGTTATTTTTAAATTCGTGTCATAGAATTCTTGTCGAGTTCGAGTCGTGTCATCGTGTTGAGTCGAAAATTTTTACCTCTAGTTAAGATGAAAAAAATATTTTTTTATTTTAAAATTTTAATTTTAATTTTTAATTTTAATTTTTTAAAAAAATATATATAAATACATATTTTATTATTGTATTTTTATATAAAATTAATATATACATACTATATAGACAAATAAGATATATCTTAACACAAATAATTAATTTTTCATCAACTTTCCTTCCGATTTTGGAAGGATTAATTTTGGTGAGTTGAAAGAAAAGTTAATCCATCCATTTTTCCATCCTTCTTATTTTCCTTCTTTATCAAATATGATGTTTTATTTATCCTTTCAACTTTATATCTTTCAAACTTTTCATCCTTTCATTTTTCCATCGTACTAAACGGAGCATAAGTTACTTAGTAGATCGGCAGAGAAATATTTTTTTGTCATAAGCAGAAAAATATTTTAAAAACCCAGTTTTCTGACTTGTATTAATAACCCGACCCGAAAGCGAAAACAAAATCCTGACTAAAAAAGATATTTGCTTTTAACCATTGAACTTTACTTTTATGTCAAGATTGGAACTGAAGTTAAATTCTTTAGATCCTATTTAGGGTCAGCTGTCAATGTACTTTTATTTTTACATTAATTAGGAATGTCGATTTGCACCTGCAATAGCAAATTTTACTTTTCTGGATTGTTGATACAATCATATGTATACACATAATAAGACTAAATATGCTAATCATCCTCAAACATGTGCTGAAAACATCTAATTTTGTTGTCGTAGACTCAATTTTTTTGGGAAAAAACACTAATAAGTCTTGCTTTTCCTTCTAAAGAACTATCAAGTCCTATCATATTTAGTTTAGGACAATGAAATCCTATTTTTGATAATTTATTCTCAAAAAGTACTCCTAAACTCTGTTAATAGTTTATTTTGTTCCAATTTTTTCAGATATTTTTGTTTAAAATTTTATTCAATTATATTTATTAAAATATAATTTCTTTATCTTAAATTAAAATTCAATAAGCTATATCTTTTAGGAGTTCATATGCAAGTGAATATTATGGAGTATAAAAGTCATTATATAAATAAATGCTTTTTTATTTTATCTCTTAAATATAATGTTGTAGCTTTGAATGCTTGAATTATTTTTTATGCCTTAAAACAATAATTTTTTTTCTAATTAATTCAAAACTAGGAAGGATAATTAAAAAAAAGCATAATTAGATAACATTTTCGAAATGATTGTATTCATAGATTAGTTTTTACATTATTAATTTATGTAATTGATAGTTGAGATTTGATAATCCAATGAGTCAAAATTTATATGCTTAAAAAAGTTAAATATAAGAAAAAAAAAAATAGAGCTGTATGATTTATCATTTTTATAAGTCTTTATTGTTAATTATGTATTTTTGGTGTTATGCTCTAATTAGAAAAAGAAATAATTTGCTTTGGGTCCTAATAACAAATATTATTGGTCAAAATATAATTAGTGTGTTAATGGGAATGATAAAATTGGAAGAAAACACACTATTAACGGAGTATAGGATTTCTTGGGAATAAATTATCAAAAGTAAGATTTAATTGTCCGAAGGTAAACATGATAAGAGTTAATGATTCTTTTGAAGGAAAAATATGACTTATTAATTATTTTTCTTTATTTTTTAATTGTTTGTCATATCCATCGATGATTCCAATCTCAATAACTGACTAATCATAGTTGCAATAAATTTTAGTGACACCAGCACTCTAATGCCATGGCCTCACCCTCCTCAACAACTACCCCCACCAAACAGCTGCTAGGCACCTTGTACTACAGGTTAGCTATTCCATCGACATTGCCCTCCTAACTTGAAATTTTTGAAGTGCATGTGTGCTCCCCATAATTAATAGAAGTAAATATTAGTATAAATAAATGTACTAAATACACAAGTCAAATTATAAACCATGCAAATCCTCTCTCTCTCTCTCTCTCTCTCCATCCCTCTCATATATGTATGCAAACTTAGTAGTGGAATGAAAATGAGTGTGATATGAACTTGAGAATGTAATAAAATACTCATCACCATTTATGGGATTTTTGACAACAAGCATGATTAAGTAGAAATCTAATAAGGATAACATATTTTAGTATTTGGATAAATCAATTTTTTTGATTGAGTAGAACAAAATTTATTCGAAATATCTTTCAAGACATTAAATTAATTATAAGTACTTATTAAAATGCTAAAAATAATGACAGTAATGGTAAGGTGATGCAAGTGGTGGCAATGATGATGGCGTTGGCGATATGGGTGAGGATGTTGTGACAATAATAGAATATAGGGATGATAGTGGTGGCAATGTTAGGGGGACAATGGCGTGTGGTGTGGTGATGGTGAGGTATTTGGAGGTAGCGGGGGTTGGTAAGTGACAAAGATGGTGGTTGTACTAGCAATGGTGGGTATTGGAGGTGAGGTGGTGTTGTTGGTGGCAATAGCAATGGTGGAGGGTTGGAGGAGGGCACAAAGGAGTGGTGGTGATGCCGACAATGAATTGGTGTAAAGGAGTCGGTTGGTGGCGGGATGTTGGAGATGGTGATATTGTTGATGGTGGAGTGGGGAGGGATTGAGCCCTTTTTATCTCAGTGAATTTGAATTTACTGCTGGATGGCTTGAGAGTATAAATATATTATTTCAATCGAGTTTTAAGAGAGAGGACATGAAAAACCTTATCTTCTAAATGATAATTATTATTTTGATTTAATTAATTAAAAAAAAAATCTAATTCAATCGGTTCATGACACTTGGATTCTTGCTACCTCCACTCCCTTATATTTGTGGACAACAATCAACAAATAATTGTTGTGTCATTCTGGGTTTTTAACAAATATTTTTTTTTGCTATTTTAGGTTATTAATACCCAATCCTCTATGTTACATTTTCTCCAAATTATGAAATTATAGGAATGATGAGAATTTTGTGCATCGCACGTGGCTATGGCTAATAATCTCATACTTGATCAGGACTAATCATACATTTGTGAGACTACATGAGATTATACTAGGAATAGAATTTAATCGGTATAAACAAAACATTGATATATGCTTGACTTAATCTCAGAGAATGCTACGACCACAATGTTTTTCAAGGCCTCCGGCATACCTGATTGACCAAGTGAGAGACCAGCACAATCCTTGTCCTTTCATTAAAGTCAACAGGAAAGCTCAAAGGATCAAGGATGAGCCTCTTATTCACCTTTATATTATTTTATTTTATTTTTTGAATTTGGATTGGAGCCTCTTATAGGCACCTGACTAGCATGCTTTTTCACAATATAGGATAAGGTAGAAAATTGAAACCCTTATATCCATTTAGTATCAGAAAAAGATAAAAAAAAAAAACAACAACAACACCAACCACCACTACCCAAAACCAAACAATATTGAGGGTAAAATACATTTTTAATCTCCAAAGTATATGTTTAGTGTTTATTTGGTTCTTAATATTTCAATTGTGTTTATTTGTATCTACGTGATCAAATCTCAAACGTCCACAAGAAAGACATAACAATTTTGGTCATGTGTCAATCACGTGAGTTTTAATTTTGTGTCTATTTGTTTTCACATGATTGACCCGTGACCAGAGACATTAACAATTTTTTTGCGGACATTTGAGATTGAACGACATAAATACAAATTAAGAATGTTAGAGACCAAATAAACACTATTGAAAGATTAGGAATCAAATATATACTACACACATACTTTAGGGAAAAAAATGTATTTTCCCTCAATATTAATTTAAACCTTGAATTTTCCATGTTTATGCCCCCCTAAATAATTGCAGCTATGAATTTTTATTGGTCAAACCCATGTATGTTAGTACGCTACTAAGTTTTCAAAGAACTTCATCTTTCTTTATCGAAATTCTCCTCATTTAGCTATCTTACTCTTTCAAACTTCTCAAGCACCCACCAAGCTTCATTCTTACTATTAATCATAACTTTGTGAAAATTGTAGGGTGTAACATGCGCAAGTAGCCTTGTGATATGATGTTTATTTGAAGTGAATCATAAATTTGGATGTTTTTATTTTCAATTTTACCGGCGATTTTCTAAGTTATCCGATATCTATAAATTATGTTACTGGGTGATTATAAGTAGATCTATCAATTAAATTAGGTGAGGCGAGTTCGTGTCTAATTTTAGTAAGTTCGTGTCAAAAAATAGTTTATTCATATCCGATTCATTTATTAGTTTGTGTCTAACGAATCGTATTATATTGAGTTCGTGTCATACATTAATCGTATATAAATGGTATAAAAATAAATTGTGTTGTGTATTTCTTCTGATTGACTTCATTCATATCCGATTCATTTATTAATCGTACCGTATCGAGCTCATTCGTTTACTAAATGAGTGGTTTAATGAAGATCTAAATCATCTAATTTTGTATCATATTCTAGGTAATGTCGAAAATTAAACTTTATAATAAATTTCTCTTCTTTTTATCCTAGTTTTTACCAGTTACACGGATAACCGAATCTAATTTATACAAGAGTTGTAATCCTTTTTGGCGGTTGTGATTTTGCCACGTCATCCGAGCCCACAAAATTGATGACGTGGCTTGATCAGACGCACTTCTTCCCTAACCGTATCTCTGTGTCACCCATCCCCTCTTCCTCTCTCCGTGTAAAACCGTATATCCGTTGCATACATATCTCTCTCTAAACCGGATACCACATCTGTCTCTATCTCTCTCCTAAAACCACAGTGTGTGAGTGTGACCTGGAATGGAATTCGAAATCGCTGGCAAAAAACTGCTTTGAGAGCCTTCCCATTTCAAAAAACATCCAAAAATAAAAACAAAATTCGTATAATTTCTTCGATTTTCAGTTTCTGTTCCGAATCCGGAAGTCGCAGTCACAGTCCTAGGGTTCCGATTCATCTCTTGGTAGTGTTCTCTCTCTCTCTCTCTCTCTAGGATCTCTCAGATCGTTCAAAGCCGTTCACAAATCTCTTCGTTGTCTTCTATTCAATGGTGTTTGGATCATTGTAAGCTTTCATAGGTAATCCCAAAATATCTGCCCACATTCACATTTATGCATATATATATTGATTCTGGGTTGAATATTGAATCGGAAGAATGGATCGTTTTGGTGGATTTGAAGATCTAGTTAAGTGACATTCGGCTTGAGTTTGTCTTTTTGTGGGGATGTTCAGATTTAGTTTCTTATTGATTTGCTTTGGGATTATTTTCTTAATTAATTGTATGTTTGATGAGCTAATCACTTACTGCACTAGGTGATTTTACTCCTTGTTTTTGGTTATTGTTGCTGTTTTTGCTTCTTGAAGCTTTGCATTTGTTGGCGAGGAAGTTAATGAACATCGGAGACAAACAAGATATTGGCATTTGTTGCGTGAATTTTTTTTGTAAATTTTTTGGTTTGCATGAAGCTGGATATTTTGGGTGAGGATTCTCTGCTGTTAGAAAATCAACAGCAGAGGTGCTGTTGATTAAAACGGCATTGTTTTGCACCAAAACAACATTGTTTTGTTAAATAGAACGACGATGTTTTGGTGCAAAATGATACTATTTTAGTTAACAACATCTCTGCTGTTAAAAATTAACAACACAGGAGCCAGAAGGGGGGCGGAGGTCTTGGTAGTCTCAAGTTGAAGAAATATGAAATTAATATCTCAAACTTGTTCTTTCATAATCATTTTCACAATTTCTTCAATGGAAGATTGGAAGGGGCAACAGTTTTGTGATGCTTAGAATTTTTTTTTTTTTCTTTTTTTGTTTTAGTTCCTTGAACATGCCATAGAAGGAAGGCAAGATGTGAGCATTTTCCTGATTTTGTATCAAGCTTGTAAATTTTTGGGTTTGCTTTTGTAATTTACAGTGTGTGATGGATACTGAAAACAATGTAGCAGTTTCTGGCCATGAAAATGGAGTTCATGAACAACTTTCCGTTGGTTTGGAGAAATTAAATGGAACCCCTAATGGTGGTGCAGAGATTGATGGGTTGACATTGAACTTTGAAAGTGTTGTGAATTTGAATGACAAAGGAGCCATTGACTTATCTGCTCAAGAAGTCACAGAGGAATCAATAGTTCGTGTAGAAAGCAATGGCGCAACTGTTTCTAAGGTAGAGTTTTTGAAATTGGCTTCTTAGTTCAAAATGTTAATCTTAATTTGATTTGGAAGCCACTCATATGCCCATTTATTTGTAGGAACTCAAAGTGGGAGAAATAGATCATTCAAAGCATGTTAAACCACAAAAGGGTAAAAGCAAGGCTAAGAATGGGAAGCCTTTGAGCCCTAAACATGCTGCACCAATGTTGGTGAAGAAGAGCAAAGACGGAAAAGAAGTGCAAACATATTCCTCTGGTTCCAATGGTTCTGTTGCCTCTGATTCACATCCAAAACAGCCTTTAGCCCTTAAAGCAAAGAGTAGGTCATTTATTGACCGGCAGGCTGCTGACAGATATTCTAAAACAATGCCTGCTCTAATTAGTGGTCATCCATCTAAGGTAAGAATTGATATTGGCTTCGGTTTTTTACATGGGTAGTTTAGTTGTACATTGTTGTGAAGCCGTGAAGGTAACTATTCAATTTCTTTCGTTCATTGATTACCATTTTTGTGGTTAGTAATTAAGCGATTCTCTATTTGGCAGCAATCTGGGAAGTCTGATGCAGCTTCGTCTGCTGCAAATGTGATACTGTCTGATGGCCTTAAGTATGTCTTTCTAGCACTTGTGATAAATTTCCTGCTTCCTTATTCCATGGAGCTTTGTATAGGCATAAGTGCTAGCTCCCATGTCAATATTGAGTGAGAAAGAATGCTGGAGGGTCCCTAGTTGCGTCCTTCATATAAAGTTGTTTGTTTTGAAACTACACTTTGTGATACTCTACAAGTTTTATCTATTGATAAAAACCTCTTTTCCCAGCGGTTTGTGAACTGTAATTTCCTGACTACAGGGAGAAGACAAAAATGCAGACGTTGAAAAAGGTTTCCTCAGATAAAGCCGAAGGAAGCACACAGTCTTCTTTGTATCCTATTTATATTGACTATATGTTATTAAAATTTTGTGGAAGGATAATGTGTAGTATTCAGGTTTCCTGGATACGTTTGTAATGAAAAGTAAGCTTAGTTCATTGAAATGTTTTTAGATCAGTTTATCCTCAACTGCTTCATAGAAGCCCTACAACAGAAGATGCTAAACTCCAGAAAGTGGGTGCTCTTCCACATTACAATTTTAGTTTTAAGTGTGATGAAAGAGCTGAGAAAAGAAAAGAGGTTAGTTTTTTCATTTGGACTATAGGGAGTGACAGTTCAGTTTCAGCATGATTTGTGCCTGTGGACTTCAGAGAATTTCTTTTATTATATGTGGGCAGTTTTACTCCAAGCTTGAGGAAAAGATTCATGCAAAGGAAGCGGAGATAAATAATTTGCAAGCCAAAACCAAGGTGGCATCATAGATTATACTAATGCTTTCAAAGCTTTTGGTGGTGGACCGTAATGACTTGTTTTTCAATTTTGAAACAGGAAAGTCAGGAAGCTGAGATCAAAATGTTAAGGAAGAGCTTGACATTTAAGGCTACACCAATGCCCAGCTTCTATCAGGAACCTCCTCCTCCTAAGGCAGAGTTAAAAAAGGTAAGTTTGTTATTCTTGCATATGCCACAAAAACACAAAATTCATGTCTTAATTACAACATGAAACTTTCGGCTTTGTTATTTATTGATGGAAAGATGGAAAAAATTGTTGGCCCTTTTGAGTCTTGTTTGATTAGCAGTCGAGCTTCCTAGCCTGAAAATTTGTATTACTTTATGTTCTGGACCTGTTGTGACTGCATTTCCGCTTGTAACGTGATGATGATTGTTACATGAAGATGTAATTTGTGCCTGCTCTTCAAAATGACTATTAGTAATTTAGGACACTACACTGTGCTAATCATTACGGTTGATATGAGGCACTTAAATTTGTTGTAGTATGGGATGGCATAAAACCTGCAATAGGAGTGAACCTTATGGTTCTATCGCCTGTCAAATGATGCCTGGCTAGTCTGAGATTGCTCAAAAATGTTACTTTCTTCTAGATATATTACAGTTGTAGATAGATAGGTTGCTGCCTTTTATTTCCCAAATGGTTTTTCTTTTCGTTTCTTCCACTTAGCTATAGAAGGTGGTTCCCTTCCATTGGTTTCGGTTATCAATCACACCTAACATTATTGCATCAAGGTTGGCCTTATTTTCTTCTTCAAATTTACTGATGTTTGCATAGCTCTGTTGATGAGATGGTGGAGCAAGACACTGCTATGTTTCTTGGAGATTGAGCTTGGTTGTGCAAAGCATTAGGATGGGTTTGTTTACATGCCAAGTGCTTATGAAGTGCAATCTCTTATATAGTAACTGCTTATCTGGGTATGATGGTTGATTGTTTTTCCATACGTGGTTAATAATTTTTCAGTCCAATAGCCAGGCTGCACAACATGGTATAGCAATGCCCCATAATGATTCTATGGGGCATGCAACCATTATCTGTTGTAGTGGAGCCAAAGCTGGCCTCGGTTATTTGTAATGTGTGAAGGTGATTTAATATTTTTTATTCTAATTTTGGTGGTTAAGGATCTTAAAACTCACTAAATTGTTTGATATAATTCTTTAGTGTTCTGGTTAATAGCGAGGTAGCACTTGACATAAGAAACTACATGACATTGCAGAGTTGCCATGTGTTGTGACAAGAACGAAAGATTTGAATTTTAGTTTTACATCAATTATTCAAAACTAAAAAAGTCGGTTAACTACAATTTCATCAAACTCATGGAGCTGCTTCTGCTCTCTATCTCTCTGACTATTAACACCCAATGACCAGACAAAAGAGACGCATTCTTATGTGCCCTTATTGTATTCTTACTTTCTTTTGCTGTGGGAAGCATGCAGCCAGGGAGAGGGGGAGGAGATTTCAAATGTGGCTGAGTATTCCATGCAAGTTACTTTTAAACCACAAAGTCTACCTATATTTTTAGTGTTTGAACTTCAATTTTAATGGTGGATTTTGGCGTGAAGACTTTTGCCATGTTAATTGTGTAGCCTAAAAAATATGAAGCTCTCTCTCTCTCTCTCTCAGAGGTAAGAATGAAAAAAAAGTATATTATGACGGGTAAACAAATGCAATCATTACATGAGCAGAGCAAACTTTTAACAAAAAAATGAGGGAGCTCATTTTAATTATTATATCGTCCATGTTTAACACACTGTTGGTTTTTTTTGCTTATACTTACTGCCAATGCCTGCTTAAATCATGTATCAAGTAGTCTGTGTCTGTCTCTCACACTGTGGATTCATCCCACATGTTCTGGCATTATTTTGTCCCAACAGTATGCATAATTGGTGTCTGTAAGTTGTATACAAACCTTTTTTTTTTTCCTGACAATGAACAGGTTTGTTGTTTGTCTCTTCTTTGCCTTTGTCTGTTACATCACAAAATGCTAGTGAATAAGGTGTTACTTTGGACTACTGTCTGATCTGTAAAAGTGGCTAATTTATGAATGCTTAAATTAGTTGGCTATATAAGACTGGATGGTCTCGTAATTTGAATTTCGGTTGGAGTTTCATTTGGCTTCATCAGTGCTGACAGTATTTCCTTAGTATGCTGGGTGAGCAATTGTTTGTTGGCAGTTCAATTGGCAAAATGTGTTGCCAAGAAGGTTGGCAAAAATGTTGGTAAACTTTGGAGTTGTCAAGGTGATGGGTAGAATGTTGGATGTGGGCTATTTGTTATGGATAGCCGATATTCCATTTTTTTTGGAGGTGAATGGTTAATAATTGGCTGTATGAGTCAACTTCTATTGGTGGTCAGTGTGATTATTTTCTGCTACTTTATATCAGCGCAAATTTTTCTGTCTTTTTGTCTGGTCTACATTGAGCTTGCCTTGATGTTTTTTTTTTAAATGTTACTGTGATCCAGATACCACCAACAAGAGCCAAATCTCCTAAGCTTGGTCGAAAGAAGAGCTCACCTCCTAGAGACTCTGAAGGAAACAGTAGCCGCAGCTGTCGACCAGGTCGGTTAAGTTTGAATGAGAATGTGTCCCAAAACAACACTGCCAAAGGAATTTCTCCAGTCCATGTTAAGAAGCCTCTACGGAAGTCCCTTCCGAAGCTGCCATCTGAAAAAACGAACTTGTCCATTGAAAAAAATGAAGCTGCATCTCAGAAAATTACCTTATCAAATGCAACGAACAAAGATGCATCTCAACAAACAACCTTATCTAACGAGATCAATGAATCTGCATCTCATATCCAAGAGGGAGGTTGCTCCAGCCGTTGAGTCATGTGAAACTCAGCCTAGTATGGCGGATGTCCATTTGGAGCAGTAAAACAGAACAAGTGTGGAACAAGATGTATGTTTATTCTGCCCTCAATCCATTTTGGCATAAAATATCAGAAGAGGAATGACTAATGTTTGAATTACATCATTGGGCAACGGAGACCTGAAGATTATTTGTATTAAGGGTTGTTCTATATGTGTCCATAGTTGGCAGCAATGTTTGGCCGTTTATGAAGGTTGCTGGTATGCGCTTGGCTATTGCAGCATTGTTTGTTTACTGTATCCTTAACTTATGTTAAATATGCTTTATAGCTGCCTGGATATCGACAAGTTTTGAGAAAGTTTTGGAGAAAATCTGTCTTTAGTTGGTTCATGAAACTAAGAACTGGCTGTTTAGATTTTAGTTCGACAAACATTTTGGGCTTGTATTTGCTATTAAGACTGTTGATGAACAAATTGGTATTGATTGTTAAATCTAAGGTTAAACTTACTGTTGAATTTGCTTGGGTGGTCATATTTTGGGTTCTGTAGTAGATGCTCTTCCTGTAATGGCTGTATATAAATTTTCAAGCATTAGGTGTTATATGCATGTTGGGCATTCATTGTTGAGCCAGTTTATCCCCACAATTACAAGCCTACTTGAATGCTACATTAGAACTTAGTAGAAGGTATGGTGGCAATGATAATTTTGTTTGTTTTTTATTGTTTGATGATATTACATGTAAATGATGACGTAGTATTACTGTTCTTGTAATACAGAAACGGCAGTACAAATTGCTTCAAGCTGGGGACATTGGTTTCTTCTTGCTACCTCCCTTCTCAGGTCAAAAATTGACAAGCTAATAGAAGTTCATTGCTTGTGCAACAGTGGAAAATGGCGGTGATGGCAACATTAATGTTTCTGTGTGATAGAAAAACGGTTAATATAACTTGCTATTTGGGGGGTTATAAGAATCAAAATTTATTAGTTATGTAGTTTCCTTTAGTTTGACAACAGAAATATTTCAGAATCAAAAATAAGATGGAAAGAAGGAAAAAATTTGAGAAATTACTAGCAAAAAGTTCCCAAAGATTAATTGAAATACTTGAGTATGAGCATTCAGTCATTGATTTTTTGAGCCACAAATCAAGTCACAACACTCCCAACACGACACAACACAATTTTAATACTCAAGCTCAGCTGGCAACATGACTCCATTTCGATATTCATGCTCTGCTGCCAAGAGGCGTATCAAATATGGAGAATAAATGGTATTAAAAAGAAAAATTTCAACACTGTACCAAAAAATAAAAAACACCCCAAAAGTTTATAAATTTCACCAACTATTTACTACTTCAAATCATTTTCAATACGGTATCGAGAAGTTATGTTTCAGTTAAATAAACTTGTACATCAAATATACAGAGCACACCACATTATCTTTATCATAAAACATCTCGAAATTTTTATTCATGAACATTACCATAGCAGAGGGCATACAATACACAGAGGTCAAACATAAATTGCATTACATTAGAAAGTGGTTGCATAGGACGGTTCATGAACAAGAGAAGCCTGCAAACACTAGGGCTTGGTGAAAAAAAACAACCCCTCTGAAAGGGAAGAGGGTTGTCATGGCAGCAGACTAAAAGAACCTTCTGCCACGGCCAAAGCCCACGAACACGAGGCACCAAACTTCAAACCGCCAAACGCAACCACAAACTGAAACAGAGATCAAACCAAAAAATCTAAATAGCAAAACAGAGACCCAACCATCACGTGCAGAACACGAAGGTTAAGCAACGTGGAAGACTCGGTAAAACTGAAAGTGGAAAGACCCAAACACTGTAAAAGACTCGAAGCGGTAATAAAGCTTATAGCCTAAGCACGATTACAACCAATGCAAGGCTGAAAGCTAAAAACACCTGGCTGAGACCCAGGCACCCCAGAACTAGAACCACTGGAAAGTATCATCACAAGATCAAGAACCGAGCATCTGCATTCTCAGGTAAGGATGGCCACAAAGAAATAGACACCCCATTGCTGAGGGCCAAATTCTTGCAACAGCTTTCCTATTGAGGAAAACTGCAAAAAAAGAGTAATTGGCCATCTTCCCTGGAAAAAGGAGCCCAGTAACTGGAAAACGAGAAGACCCATATAGCTCATGGACCCAAAAACTACACACTACTGCTACAGTGCTACCCACAAGAGAACAAGAATGCCCAACCCAACTTACAGGGCTATTCCAACCCTTTCCCCGGTTAGAAAAGGATATCGCACCTCCATAGGTGCTGGACAAGCAGATCAACTGCACTACTGCAGATTCCACGACAGTGCTGGAGGTTTAATCCCACAAGTTTCTGACCCAACTTTCCCAAAAAAGGCAAGCTCTTGTCCGACACTACTGAGCAACCCGACAAGGAAAGGATCTGCAAATTCAGCTGCGCCGCACAAGCCAAGACTGCAATGCCAGAATCAGTGATTGCACATTTGGAAACATCAAGTTCACTTAGGAACAAGCAATTCTCAGCAACTGCCACCAAGCTTGCATCAGTGACATATCTGCAACCATCAAGATTCAGCAACTCAAGAGTCGCACCATGCAGCTTGACTATGGTTGAAACCACTTTGTCTGTCAAGTTCACACAACCACTAAGATTAACCTTCAGCAGACCAGCCTTGCAGCACTGAATGAGTGAGAAAAGTCCCTCATCGGTTATTCCAGGAAGTTCACTAAGATCCAAATGCTGCAGTTGGGGACACATTCTACCCAACATGGCCAAGCTCGAATTACCAAATCCAGGGCAGCTGCGGATAGACAATGATCGCAGGGAATTGGAAAGAGACATCAAAGGAAATCCCAAGACTATGTCCTTCATCCCCAAGCAATTTGCCAAAGCTACAGCCTTTAATTTCCCCCCACAGTTTACAAGGACACCAAAAACCCCAGACTGGCTAATCCTGTGGCACTCCTCTAATTGCAGGCTCTCGAGTGACCCTGCAGCTTTGCCAAATGCAAATAATCCCTTGTCTGACAAGAATGCACATCTGCGAAGGTAAAGCTGCTTCAAATTTGGGCAACCTTTACCCACAGCTTCAAGCCCTAGATCAGTGACTCCTTGGCAAGAGGAAACTGCAAAGGACCTCAACTTCTGCAAACCCTGAGCATTACCCATGACCCAGAAGCCCCTCTCACTCACATTTTGGAGGCCAATAAGAGCTAGGTCAGTAACAGCCTTGGCATAGTGTCCAATAACAGCAAGAGACACATCACTGATATTCAAAGCCTGGAGCTTCACCTTTGTCAGAGCAGAACCGGCCGATGATAACAGACATGCAATCCCTTGATCCCCAACAAGTGGGCAGCTTTTTATTGAAATGGAGTTCAAGTTGGGGCAGCAACGGCCAACAGCTTGTAGGCTTTCATTCCCAATGTTTGGGCAAGACTCAAAGGTTAGCGAGGTCAGATTAGGACAGTTGTTTGCAATGGCCATCACAGCCTTGTCAGAAATTGCTGGGCAATTGCAAAGGTCAAGCTTCTGTAACAGGTGACACCCATTAGCAATCTCAGATAGGCCTTCATCACAAATAGAAGTGACGTTCCATAGAGAAAGAACCCTGAGAGAAGGACAACCACGAGCAATGGCCCTTAGGCCAAGATTTGTTACCCCACGACTAGAATTGCTCCCTCGGATAGAAAGCTTTCCCAATCCTCCACGGCTACAAGTTCCAACAGCAATGGCGGCAAGTCTAACGTCTGTTGCTTTCTTCCCTTCAAGGCATCTGGAAAGGTATCCATCACCCTCTATATCCTGATCTTCAGCCTCAGGTTCAACAACTTTGGCACCATTAGAGCAGACATCCCCACCCTTTTTGTCACACTCAGAGGCCACAACTGCCTTGTCAGAAATCAATCTTTCCTCAGGCTCCACAGGTTCAACAGTTATGTTCGTACAGATTTCATCCCTGTGAATGCTACTTACAAGCATAAGCCACCGCTTGGACACAGAAGCACATGCACTTCTTGATTGGCCTCCAGGGATCCGTCTAAAGACCTCAAAGAGGCATTCATCAGGAAGAACTTCAATGGAGGGTTGCTGCTTCTGCTCAAACCTTTCTCCACTAAAAACAAAGGGGGCACTAATGCGAGACTTCTTGTGAGGAGGAAAATAGATGTCCACATGATCATCAAGGGACAAAAAAAGACTTGATTCATTGGGATTTTGAAATATTGACCCCCAAGGGCAAAAAGCATGATCTCCTGAAATTCAAAAGATGAAAAACAACTTCAGCCAAAATTTTCAAATGAAATTTGGCAAGTTTAACCAAATTGACCTTCTCACAAACTAGAAGTATGAAACATCAGATCAAAAGCAAATAAGATGAACATTCGTTTCCTACATAAGCCAGGTAGTCCCAACGAAAGAGTTATATGGGGTTTAGATGGACAATATCTGTAAATCCACAATCTAAACCTTAACTTGAGGGATAAGTCAACAATTTACAATTACAGAATAAAGGACGTAACATGATAGAATGAATGAAAAGAAAGAACCTACATGCCCAAGTAAAACGGAGCAATCAGATTCAGCTACTGATAGTTTCAGAAGCCTTGTCCATGACTTTTAATTTATAAGTAAAACCCACATAGAATTCAATGTTCACAGTTTTTCCAAAAATTGTTACGGAAAGGAAAAATAAAAAAACATACAGATTAGGAAAGATTTAAATTTTAAAATTTGTCAAAAACACCAATCACATAAAACTAAACACTTCACCTGTAATTTTACCAGGTTTTCCAGATTATTATCAATCCAGAATATTATATCTCTAAAATCTCATCCATTAGAGACAAATCCACCAAGGAATACCACAATTAAGAAAAAGGAAACGGAACCCAGATGCACACATGACAGAAAACCACCAAAACCCATAAATCCATCGCAGATACATTTGATCTAAAAGAAAACCACCCGAAACAACAACCAAAAACATCATACAACGAATACCTGTGTTTATATACAGGTGTACATATATTAGACAAATACAAAAAGAGACCCATCCATACCAGCTCTTCTATCAGACCAAGTTAAGCCACCATCGGCTCTAGAGAGAGCTGCAACACATGTACATATCGAATACATATATGCATACATATCTAGAAAAAGGGCCAAATTCAACATTAACGCAAGCAAATCGAGCTCAAAGCATAAAATTGGAGAAAACCCCAGAAAAGATTCAAGATCATACCACTGTAATCGAAGACTTTTGACATGGGTACAGTTGGAAAGCCCCAGGGAAGCCAAATCTCAACCGTTCAAGCCCAAAAAACCCTCGATCGAGAGCAAAAAAGACCAGATCAACCAACAGCAACACAATATAAACCAAGTATAGAGCTTGAAACAACGAGTTCATGAGAGAAATAGAAAGTCAAGAGGTCATCTGAAACCCTAATAGATAGGGCAAAAAAGGAGAGAGAGGGAGAGAAAGATGAAGGGTGGGTGGGTGGATGCTACAACGTATGTGGAGTTGTGCGTTTCCCATATCTTTTATTGTCAAGGTGGGGTCTTTTTTTATTATTCATAGGGGGGAGAGAGAGAGACCGAGTGGGTACATGCAATGAATCCAATCCCAAATTCAATCATCCATGTTCAATGGAGAGAGAGAGAGAGAGGAGATGTTCATTCCCCCAAGCCCCGAACTTTCACAAAATATACCAAAAACCACAAGGTGGTTTTCTTTCCTTGTCTATCATTTTCTGTGAAAGGGAGTGTTTTGGTAAAAAGTTTTACGTTTTTGTCTAACTAAAAAACAAAATGTTATTTTTCCTGTACATCTTAAAAGTTTAAATCAGACATTCATAAGAGTCTGTTTGGAACTGAATTTTTTCGATAAAAAATTACGATTTAAAGAAATTTGTAAAAAAATCAAATTTAAAAAAATTCTTCAAAACCGTTAAATTTTTTTTTAAAAAGCTGAAAATTTTGAAAAATTTCATTTGAAATGACGTTCTAACTTGTTTTTGGCTTTTTTGTGTCAAAAAAAAATAATAATTACATATATATATATATATATATATATATATATATGTATAAATTATGCATAATAATTCTTAAGATATGAATTTTAATTTTTGAATCAACCTAAATGCTTTTTTGGGTTCAAAAAACTGCTAAATCATTATACATATTTGATATTTAATAAAGTAAAAAAAAAAAAAACCAAGGACTAGTTGAATGAATAGGGTGGGAAAGATTTTTACAAATTCAAGGCTGGCTCGTTTAAAATTTATAAGAGATCAGCTCATTTAATAAATAAATAAATTAAATTTGAGCATGACTCGCATACAAGAACTCAGTTTGCTATGCTAGTTTAAATGACAAGTTAGGGTACTTGAAATTGGATGATTTAGATGGAGTCATGAGATAAACAAATCAAGTTTAAACTGTATTTAAAATTCTTTTTAATTTCACCCAAACTTAGAAAAAACTATTAGTGGCTTAGACTTATTCATGGAGCAATGGTATGCTGCACAAATTTTTACCCAAATTTTGCATTCTAAATCAATGCAGGTGGTTGAATTAGCAGGGTCTACTAACTCCATCAAATATTAAATACATGAGATTTTGACACATCATTTGAGATATAATTCAAAATCATTTGAGTCCGGAATTTAGTTTAGGGTGGATACTTTAATTCAAAATCTTAATTAATTTTTTTAATTAATTAAATATAGTAATAATTTATATTTATTTAGATAAAAGTCAATTTTTGAAAATTAAAAATTAATTGTACGCTAATTACAAGTAATTTCACGTTTAAATTAAAAGTACAAACAAAGAAAAATCATACATTATACCGAAAAAATGTATTAATCACTAAAAGTTCTGCTACAATAAAATATACATTGAACTAGAAATTAAAGACTAGTTGCAGCTCAAAGTACAGAAAAAATAATTGTTAGGCAAGAATTTTGAGTAAAAGATGTTGAAAATTAACAAAAAAACATGGACAACATTGCTACTGTCTCATTGGATTTCATATAAAAGCAGGAAATAGCTTGCACAGTTACCAGTTGCATAGTCTTATCTCTATGTTTGTCTTTAATTTTCTCTCAGCCTTTACTTTGTTTTCGTTTTATGCAAATAATCTCATAAGATTATGATATTTATATGTAAATTTTTTTAAGTTCAAATGTTTTTTTTACTTTATTTTATAATCATGTTTCTTATATAATTATAAAATAATATTACTTTTGATTCAATAGTTAAAGAAGTTCGTAATTTTTTTATAAAAAAATCCAAAAAATGAGTTTCAAATACATTCAAGCATGTCTAAACTGTGTTTGTAATGTGCTCAGTTATTTTGTGTTATTTTATACAAAAAATTCTAAGGTGAACCCAATAAATTCATTTTGAAAGATATTTAACAAAGTATATATATATATATATATCAATAAAAAAAATTCAAAATTTGAGGGTGGGCCCTAGGCACCTGCCCCTAGGGTCCCTCCGCCACTGCTCTGTCCCAGAGAACTAACATGGTCAAATTTTGTGATTGCATTCAAGGAAAGAATACATCGAAGTTGAATAATGAACAAAACTGAAAGTTGATTGTCGCCAATGTTCACATTTTTTTTTTTGGTTATTGGATATCTAGACTTACGTCGATTATTCTCTTGAATTTTGAGTTAATCATCGAAACTTGAGTTAGTTTAAGAACATGTCCTATGAGGAATAAGTATGATTAATTCTTAGAGAGTGTGAAAAATATCGAACATGAGAACTCTTACTTAAAAGAGGATAGATTTAACAACTAAACTACCTTATGTGTTTGTTGTCAATGCTGCTGACTAATTATTAGGTGGTGCACCAAAAGTGTCTTCCCATCCAAAACCGATGAAACCATCCAATTCCAAATTGGAGGGAAGCTGGGATAAACCTACCTATAAGAAGACATGATTGATAAACCTTATTACTTCAGTATCAAAAAGTTTTTTTTTTTTTTTGTATAACATATCGAAATTGATATCAAATAATGGGTGAGGTTATGACTCAATTAGCGAGAACTTGACAGTATTTGATTGCAATTTTATCAAAAAAAAGTTATAAATTGACCTAAATTGATGAACCCGAAATTAACTGGGTCAGACCCAATTAATCAAGAGAAGTCCACGTTACCTTAGAGTCCAAGTCAACAAGTCAAGAAGGAGCTCAAGTTAAGGGAAAGCCAAAGTCAATGAGTAGTTCAAGGGAGACACCCTCAAGGGGAAACCCCAAGGGGTGCCGCCCAAGGGGGGCTACCCAAAGGACGCCGCCCAAGGGCTACCCCAAAGGGGCGGCGCCTAAGGGAGGCCACCCCTAGAGGATTCTCTCCCTCCTTTGTCTCATGTTCCCTCTTTTGCGCAACTTCGTGGAGTCCTTCGCCCTCTTGACAGTGACACTCCAATTTAAGTCCTACACCCACTAACTCAAGTTCAAGCTCAAGATCCTCCTCCGACTGAATAGGAACACAAGGAAAAAAATATCAGGATATACACGGAGATCTAATCTTTCCTTATTTGTACTTACCAAAATAGTAGAAATCTTCTCTCTCACGTCATCGTCTTACTAAAGCCTATATAATGTAAGGCCTCTCCACATGAAGGGCATGACCTTTGAGACCTCTCTACACACCAAGTCTCTCTCTCTCTCTCTCAAAGCACCATAATTCTCCCAGAGTATACTCCCCTGATGATTTTTATTTATCAATAAAGATCTTCGATCACCGCTGTCATTCCCGAGAGTAAATTAGGTCACCTGAATCGAACTACTATAAATCTTAGTGTTGATTCCTATTTTATAATTTTGTCATTGATTGCCTATCTACTGCTCATTAATTATGTCTTTTAATATACTCAACTATTATTTTGCGTAATATCGATTTGTGCATCATTAATTTGGCGCTGTCTGTGAGAAACAACTAGTTTTCTACTTTATTTCAATCCATGACAATCACGACCAGATCAATGAGTCAACAACCGAAAAACAACAACCTAGCCAATTGGGACGAGGCTTTGCCTCCCCTCGCGCCCTCGGTATCCAGGCCCAGCAACGCCAAACGCTCCTTGGCATCTGCGCCTAGCGCCCCTTAGCGTTCGTGCCTAACGGCACCCAGTGCACCTTGGTGTCCACGCCCAAAGGCGACCAGCGACCCTCGGCATTTGCGCATGAAGTTGCCCAACGCCCCTCGACGTCTGTGCCCAGCCCCAAGCCCAAAACCTTAGGCGCTCAGCTCCTCAGCGCCCTTCTCATCTCTATCTCAGTGGAATGAGTCTCTGCCACAGCCGTCATCTCCCGAGTTATACGTAGCTCAGCCTCAGACTCTACTCTCGCACAAATAGTCACCTTGTAAACCTCTGCTACAACAGTTATCTCCCGAATTATACATAACTCGGCCTATAACTCTGCTCTCGTGCAAGTAGTCACCATGTAAATCTTTGCTACGACAACAATCTCCCGAGTTATACGTAACTCGGCCTATGACTCTACTCTCGCGCAAATAGTTACCGTAAGCCTCTGCTACGACAGCCAACTCTAGAGTTATACGTAGCTCGGCCTATGACTCTGCTCTTGCACAAGTAGTCACCTTGCAAGCCTTTGTCACGACAAACATCCCCCGAGACTATACGTAGCTCGGCCTCATCTCATGTCGCCCTCTCACGAGACAACCACAACTCCGACTTTGCTCTCATGCAAACAACCCGTCTCTCTCTCTAGATAATCATATTAAATATTTTAATGTTGAGATAACATTATTTTTGTCAGGCACACTACAACCCCGCAGGACTATACTAGATTGACACCAAGCCACTACTAGAAGCATAATAGTTATGTGAAGCTACAGTCCCCATAGCAAAACTGTACTGGAGTCTTAACTCTTACAACGATACTAAGACTAATTCTAGTACACACAGAAGTTTCATTCTGGGAATAAGTAGGGGCATCACAAGGTCCCATCTCCAAGAAAACAACCTAGCCATTGGACCTGGGCTGAAAAACACTGGGGGTTTCAAACCTAAAAGTACAAAAAGTTTCCACCATCGCCCTACCAACATGACAACTATAATTAAAGACAAGGTTAGTATAAAGAACCAACATCGAGAAAGAAACATTTTTGGGAAAAATTAGGTGCCCCATGTTGTAGATCTCCAAAAAATACACGAATTCAAAAAAAATTCGTCTTAAACGGACAACTGAGCTCAAAATTTTGGTCGTTTAAAGTTTTATTGTTATTTAATGGTCCACCCAACGTCAGTGTCCAATGATCAATATCTAGCGCCAACGCCCAATGACTTATCCAGCGCCAACATCCAAAAGTCAATATTCAACTTTAGTGTCCAATGGTCAATATCTAGTGTCAGCACCCAATGATCAATATCCAATGCTAGCATGACCAAGACTTAATGCCAGCGCCCCTCGTCTCGCCAAGAATGTACCCACGCGAAGGTGTCGCCCAAAAAAAAAGAAAAAATTTAGCAGAGTCCTGAAGATGAAAAAACACAGTGAGAGCAAGAAAACTCCTACGCAAGTGAAAAATAAACACATGCCCTCAACTCCTTGCTCTCATAAAAAGTCAGAGACTTGGGGCAAATGATGAACCCGAAATTAGTTGGGTCAGACCCAATTAATCAGGAG